AAATCAGAATTTTCTGATATTCCGGGACTCGGACCATTGTTACAGGATTGGGAATTTCCCAAATCAACGCAAGTTACAGAAAATTCACGCGAGTTACAGCACCAAAATACAGGAACGATAAAGAAAAATCCGTTACACTGCAATAATAATAATAATAATAATAATAGCCGCTCGCAGTCAAATGCTGATTTCGAATCCACTCGACACCCAAATGTTAATCATTGTCGCGGTGATTATGAGTTTAACAATCAAAAGGAGCGTCAAGATGATAATCGTCGCGTTATCGTACCAAATCCGGAAGACTATCAACCCGGTATGCGCAACCGTTACAGTCAATCAACTAATTATAACACTCGAAATAACTATCAATCGGGTAGATATGCAGACGCGGATGCAAGAACATCCTTACCTTTAAGTCCTCACGCGTTATTACAAACAGTGCAACGATGGAATTTACCATTTAGTGGTACCAGGGGGGAAGACGTGGAAAAATATATAAATAGAATTGATGAAGGTCGCGCATTATTGGTCATACGTGAAAGTGATTTACTAAAAGTTATACCTTTTACATTAAATGATGCTGCTCTAACATGGTATAGAGGGCGTGTTAATTATTTCAGATGTTGGCAAGACGTAAAAATTGCCTTACGTTCGCGATATGCAGATCCAGATTATCAATTAGCCTTGCGTGAAGAAATCGCTAATCGCACGCAAGCTAATAACGAACCCGTCAGTGACTATCTCGCTTGCATGAATGGTCTTTTTGCCCGTACTGACCCAAGTTGGTCACAATATGAATGTGTCCGATATGCTCATCGAAACATGTTACCGACATTTAAGTTAGTGATCCCCTTCCATAGAAACCTTTCTATGGAAGAATTAGAAAATTACGCGTCTCGTCAGGAAAGAGCATTTAATAGTTTAAATCAGTACCGTGCACCCCCACTACTTGAAGACTCTATGTGCCCAGCATATGCTTTTACAGGACCTCGTAAACCAACAAATCAAACATCGCGACCGTTGCGCCCTCTAATGAAACCCGATCAATTACACGCCTTGAGCGATAATTCTATGCCAACGGAAAATATTTCAGATAGTTACAGTGATTTACCTACAGATTTATTAGACGCTTTGTTAATGAGACAACAAAATAACCGATCAAATAATTATAAATCATCAGTGCCCGAAAATTGTCCGAAAGTTTCAAGCAATTCCAAAGTTACAGAAAGTTCAGAAACCAAACCACCTACAGTAACGACAAAAAAATTAGAGAGTAATAATGAGTTTCGATGTTGGAATTGCGAAAAGGTGGGACATCGCCACATGTTGTGTCCAGAACCGAGAAGACGATTCTGTTACGGTTGCCGCGCTTCGGGCGTAACCAAACGCGAGTGCCCACATTGTAATAAGGGAAACGCTTAGAAGTGAACACTAATCCGGCAAGTGTATCGCTTACGAAAAAGGAGTCGGAAATTCCCTTACAATCATTATTACAGTTTATGAAACGCGAAAATTTACAGAATACAGAAAATTGGTTACAGTTTAAAGAACAAGCTACAGAATTACAGGAAAAATCAGAAGTGTTTGATTTCGCCAATTTGTTAACTAACCTAAACGACCATTCAAAACAAGTAGCGTTCTTTGTCAATTTTACTATTGCGGGTCATAAAATAAAAGCCTTAATCGACTCGGGTGCATCGAAATCATTTCTAGGTCCAAACGGAATCCAATTGTTAAATAATTTAGGGTTAACAACGAAACAAGTTCCTACTCGAAGAGTAATTGTTGCCAACGGTGACGAATTTCGGATTGAAAACGCGATAGAAACAACAATAGTGCTAGAAAATCGCAAACATATTGTTAATTTATACCTGATGCCAGTGTTAGCACAACCTTGTGTTTTAGGGTTAAATTTCCTCCAGGCCGCAGGTTTAATAATCGATTTTGCCGCAAACAGCTGGTATTATAGGGATGACCCAGATTCTAAATTTGTGTTTACACCGGAAAACGTTACAGACCATGTTACAGAATGTTACGGGATACAATTATTAGACGAAGAACAATCAGCTATCCTAAAAGAATTTTTGGACAAGAGAATCTTACCACAACCAGAAAAACTACCAATCACACCATTGACCTTCCATGATATTGATGTTGGAGATAGTGAACCAATCCGACAAAAGGCCTACCAAATGACACCAATAAAACTGGAAGCATTATGGACGGAAACAGACGAATGGTCAACTCCAGCACCAAAAAAGACGCTTATCCGCTTCCGAATATGATGGGGATTTTGGATCAGCTTAGGCAGTCTAATTACATCACGACCTTGGACCTCACTTCGGCTTATTTACATGTACCATTAACGGAAAGAGCGAAACCGATCACCGCATTCACTGTGCCCGGTAGAGGTTTGTTCCAATTCAAGAGAATGGCTTTCGGTCTAACCAACGCACCTGCCACCTTCCAGAGACTAATGGACAAAATAATCGGTCCAAAAATGTTTCCCCACGTCTTTGTTTATTTGGATGACATCATCATTGTAACAAAAACCTTCGAAGAGCATCTTTATTGGCTTGACAAAGTGTTAACAAAAATTAGAGAGGCTAAATTGGTAATTAACAAAGAAAAGAGCCAATTTTGCTGTGCAGAGTTGTGTTATCTTGGTTTCCGTGTCAACAGTGAAGGGCTACAAATCGATTCCGACAAAATTTCAGCGGTAATAGATTACCCCCCACCACGGACAGTAAAACAACTGCAACGCTTCTTAGGAATGGCATCCTGGTACAGAAGATTCGTTCCAGACTTTGCTAAATTGGCTGCGCCGCTTTACAAACTGGTTAAGAAAAACCAACCTTGGGAGTGGAATGAAGCTCAAGTAAATTCCTTCGAAACAATGAAGATACAATTGACAACCGCTCCGACATTAGCATGTCCAGACTTCAGTTTACCATTTACATTACAGACAGATGCAAGCTCAGTAGGAATTGGAGCTGTACTCACTCAGAATATCGATGGTTCAGAAAGAGTTATCGTCTACGCCAGCCGCGCACTGACCGATGCAGAAAAGAATTATTCAGTGACTGAACTCGAGTGTCTCGCCGTGATCTGGGCAATAAAAAAGTTTCGATGCTACCTTGAAGGATACACTTTTAACGTCATCACAGATCACAGTCGTTTACGCTGGTTACATAACATGAAGAACCCGACTGGCAGACTCGCGAGATGGAGTTTAGAACTTCTTGAATATAATTTCACAATCATCCATCGAAAGGGTGCGCTCCACCATGTTCCAGATGCTCTGTCGCGTATACCTGAACATGCTATTGAACACATCAACCAAATTGATGTAATCGAGGACCGCTGGTATCTTGGACGCTTCCGAGAAGTGGAAAACTATCCTGACAAATTTCCGAATTGGCGAATTGAGAACAATCGACTTTATTATCACAAACCAGAAAACTTTCTAGAAACAGAAGTCACGGATTTAATTGCCTGAAAATTAGTGCTGTGCCGAGAATCTCGTCTACGTGTGTTACAAGAAAACCATTCAACACCACAGTCCGGACATCTTGGAGTTGACAAGACACACCGACTAACCGCTCTCCAGTACTATTGGCCTAACATGTTTAAGGATGTAGTCTCTTTTGTTCGACACTGCGAAACGTGCCAACGAACCAAGGTTGAACAAACACGTCCTGCAGGCTTCATGGGAAAGAAAACAGTCGAAGAACCTTGGACAGTAGTAGCTACGGATATTATGGGACCACTCACACCAAGCTCCAGAGGTCACGCCTATGTCTTAGTCATTCAAGACCTCTATACCAAATGGATCGAGATACAGCCACTGAAGAAAGCTACAGGCCTAACAATATCAACAGCGTTACAGGATTTAGTTATCAATCGTTGGGGGGCCCCAAAAGTGTTACTTACAGATAATGGTACAGAATTCATTAACAATAACATGAAAGCTCTAGCGAATAAAGTAGGATTTAGACACATGACAACGCCACCTTTCCGACCCGAGGCAGACCCTGTCGAAAGAGTGAATCGCGTAATTTTGACATTGATGGTGGCTTTTATACAAAATAGTTACCGCGAATGGGAGCTACACCTCCCAGAATTGCGATTCGACCACAATACCGCTCATCACACCTCAATTCAAAACACGCCAGCATTCCTTAATTACGGTCGCGAACCAACAGCTGCGATATCCTTGCGTCGAGAACTAGAAGCTAATATAGAAATGGTACACCAGCCAATACCTACCTGGACCGAACGTATGCGACGAATAAACGAATTAAGGAATAGTATAGTTCATGCCCTAGATAGCGCATTCCGCAAACAATCCCAATATTACAATCGTAAAAGGAGAGATCAGCGCTACGCGGTCGGAGAACTAGTGTGGAAAAAACAACGCGTATTGTCCTCCGCGGAAAGACACTATATGGCTAAACTGGCCGACGCGTATCATGGGCCATTTGTCATCACAACACGTATTTCAAATGTAGTCTATGTGTTAGAAGACCTACAGGGACAATCCTTGGGAAAATTTTCTGTACAAGATTTAAAACCTTACTAGGCTCCACTCAATGATATTCCTGGTGAAAGAAACATGTCCGTTACAGAACCTCCAAGTAAGTTACAGTAATTATGTATGTCCTTAATGTAAAGTATTTTATGTTGTCGTTCAAATGTCTAACCAGATTCCAGTTTTGCAACCACAGCCAGAAGTACCACAAAATCCTTGGTCGGTCAAGTGTTTATTTCAAGTTTCAATCCTAGATCAGTTACAGTCCAACCTCGTGCCAGGGAAATTTAAGTTACAGTATTAAACATCCGTTATAGTTCCAGTATATTTTATGATACAGTAATCAAACACCGAAATGGGTTACAGTGTACCATCCTCCAATGTTACAGTTCGACATCCTGTGTCGTCTAGGTGATGGTCAATTCCTAATAATCAAACACAAGTTACAGTCTTATAAAATTACAGCAAGATGGAGGCTGACAGCACCACACCGCCTGAGGAGGACGTTAACATCGAGGTCCTCGATGTGTCAGAGTCGGACGAAGAGTGGCACGATGTGGAGGAATGGGAGGACATCTTGCTGGCGGATCCTGACGATGAGGTCCAAATCCCCGCTAGTCCCAGCCCCTCGATCAGCTCAAGCTCCTCAAGCATTGAGATACTTGACTGGCCGGAGGCTGTTAACGAGGATCTGGACATCGAGGAGGCACCTCGAGCATCGTCACCATCCGAGTCCGAGACCGAAACAGTGGAGATGGAAGATCCACGCATCCCCACACCTCCACCGTGGAACCCGCCACCGCCGGAACAAAATGGACCTGGAGGGATCCCTGGACCACCGGAGGAGGTTGAGGTGAGGCTGGAGGAGGACCCATACTGGGACCCGATCCGGCCGTTCATCCCTTCGTTGGTCTGGCTGGAGCAATACCGTCCTGGCCTCTTCAGGGCAATTCACGAGATGGTGGCTCGCTACAGCCATCGTGATAACCAGGAGTGCCCCATCAGATGGAGGACGGATCTCGCGGAACGCTCGGCCTTACCCACCGAGACCCAGGAGTGGCCCCTGGAAGAACCCACAATGGTGGACCAGGAGACACAGACGGAGTTCGTTGCCGTTGAGAGGTCAACACAAACGACTCCCCTGACTCCTGCACCAACGGCACCACCATCGCCAGCACGACCATCGCCAGCACCACCATCGCCAGCACCAACATCGCCGGAAGCAGTCGAAGAGCCCCCAGCTTCGATGGAGTTGGACCCAGTGTCCTCGGCTTCGGAGGATGCACCGGAGACGGTGGATCCGTTCGGACCCTTCACGAAGCCGAAGGTCCGGCCTGAAAAACCCCAGTGGTGGTCAAGCCACTCAGAGGAAAGCCTCCACCACGAGCGGCGCTACCGAAGACCGAGCCGCCGAAGCAGGAGTCGCGACGGCAGACTCCACCCCACACCTGGGACGAGTCGCAGCCGTCCAGAGGAGCCGACCAGCTTCTTGCGTTGGATCGATGACAGATCCGAGGACGAGGCACCTGAAACACCTTCGTACCCTGCTCCAAGTGCACCGTCCCGCCCGCAACGTCTGTGCTGGAATTGCCACCAGGAGGGACACAATTTCAGCAATTGTGTTGAAACTAGGCGGAAGTTCTGCCAAATGTGCGGAAGGCATGGGCACACCACTAGAACGTGCCCACGCTGCAGCAGAAGATGGGAGGCAATGGGACCGTATGTCCCCAAATACGGCACAAACGTTCCTCGAGACTACGACCACCATCGCCATCACCCTTACTAAGACAGCGGCGATCACCACAGTAAATATTTTCACCCTATTTTCACTTATTTTCACTTATAAAATTCATTTTATATTCATTTAATTTTCACTTATATCTTCACTTATATTACTTACTTTCACTTATAAAAGTCACTTTATATTAACTTAATTATTTTCACTTATAAAAGTCACTTTATATTAACTTAATTATGTTCACTTATTTTCACTTCATATTAACCTAATTATGTTCACTTATTTTCACTTTATAGTAACTTAATTTCACTTATTTTCACTTTGTAATTCACCTTATAATTCATTTTATACTTCACTTTAAATTTCACTTATTTTACTTATGTTTAACTTTTATGTCACTTATTAGCAATTTATTCACTTAATTTCTTATCAAACAAATAACTGTTAATTGTCGACGATTTTAAATCAAAAAACGTCATTGTCATTCACTGTGTGAAGGGGGGGAGTATGATAGAATCATTCACAAAAAAAAAAAAAAAAACAATGTTGTAAGGACTCATGGTGGGAAAGACTAGTTATAGTAATGTTACAGCTAAAATCAGTTCATAAAAATATCATTTTTATTTTAATCACAACATTTCTTGAATATCGTTTTTGCTAGACACAGGAATATTTTTTCACTCCCCTTAACTTTTCACTCCAAAAAAAATACCCTTTGGTAAAGATTGATGAACAGAGAAATCAAAATTTTGCTTTAGAGGAAATAAAGCAATTCGGAAAGTGATTCTGATGGAGTTTGGTGTATATATCGGCTCACTAGAAATGACAATTTATGCGCATAATGGCATGGGGCTGGTACCCTAACGGTTTTACTCGTGTTATAGTACAAGTGGGTTGATCGGAAGGAATCGGTTCATAACAATAATTAAAGTTCAGTTAGTTGGTGTCCCGATTTTAGAGAAATAAAATAAAGTAAATAACATTTTTTTTATCTTCAGTAATCTTTTTCGGTTGGGGCGAGTTGTGACGTTATTTTTTGTGATTGACGTCACAATTGCACCAATCACAACTAAACTTTTGAATTTTTGTATTTTTGAGTTTCGATATAAATAACGATTTAATGTTTACCGTATTTGAGAACTTCCTATACTTGACACAAGTCCAGTTGAAATACTGGCGCTCCATTTTTAAGGAATTTTGCATTAATTTAGTTTAAGTTAGTTTTAGGTTGGCAGGCTTTGTCGAATTTCCGGTATGACAGGTTCCAATATTCAAGTATCGCGGGCTTGATATTGGAAAAGTCACTTAAGTAGTATTAGTAATTCAGAATTCTGGGAGAAGTAAGGTAGGGAAACGTTTTTGATTGGTTTAAATTAAAGAAAATCGTTGCGTCATCTAGTGTCAATTTTAGTGTTAATTAAGAATTTTGATTTTCAAACTCACTCTCTTGCCATCAAGCCCCCATCGAGTCAACATGTTTAAGTTTCAATAGTTTTCGATCATGTTTTTTAAGTTACAGTCGGTTGTGGTTACAGTTACATTTGTCACGTCACCGTAACATTTTTTTATAAAAATAATAATAATTAATAATAATTAATAAATAAATATTTATATAAAATAAATTCTTTTATAAATAAATATATTTGTAAATAAATAATTGTTCTTTAATAAACAAATATTTGTAAACAAATATTTGTGGATAAACAATTGTTTATAAATAAACAAATATATTTATAAATAAACAAATATATTTAAACATCATGTCACCGTCACATTTTTTTATAATAAATAATAATTGTTGTTAATAATTAATTTTAATAAAAGAAATATTCTTGTAATATTAAATTATAAATGAGCGTTTATAAATAAACAAATATTTGTAAACAAATATTTGCAAATAACAAATGTATTTATAAACAAAAATAATTGTTATCAAACCTAAATGTATGGACAGAAATAATCAATGTAATTAATCAATATGTAAAATTATTATATTTCATAAAGGTGTGATGTTCTTAATATTTAAAATTACAAAAGACGATCTAATAAAGCAGGAAATCTATTATGGAGTCACCACTACTAAAAGAAAAAGCAATAAAGATTTTTCGTGTCTGTGAGGTCCCGACATTGAATCTACCCATAGAGGCGAACTGGTCCCGCTGCGAGAAATACATTGGAAAATATTACTATATAATGGGAGACCTTTCACTAACAAGGCAGTCCCAAATTATACGTAAAAAGTTCATCGTATCGAGTCCCAAATTATAAGCACGGAGTTCATTATAACGAGTGTAATAAACAGTTTTTAAAAATATACATCGAAGATACACAAATGTCATCATAGTTCACAAGTTAAAATTTTACATATTCAGAAGTTTTCGTCAGTTACGGTCTAGCCTAAAATATACCTGTGTCAATAAGGTAATAAAACTTTTACGACTTAGAAGATATAATCTTAGGAGACCCGGTGTTCGAAAAAAGGAAAAACTAATTGAAGAGTCATTACAAAGTTTATTTAAAGGTAAATAATATGAATCTTTAAAAATAAGGATTGTTTGATTGTCTTATAATAATAATAATTGAGAACATTTAACATTTTTAAATAAATAATTTTCATATTGTATTTTTTTTAAACATTCATTTAATAATCCTTTCCCCAACTTAGTTAATTTAACTAAGTTAAATTAAGGAATTAGAATAGGGAACAATTATAAGTTCAGCTTAGGTAAAATTAAAAATTATTTAAAACTAGCAACTTTGTCGTCCGCAAGCGGCCGACTACGTTGCTAGTATGCATTAACCATATTTTTTATTAATTTTTTTTCAAAAAAATTTAATATTAGAAATGTAAAAAAAAATTTCTTTATATTGGATCTACCACCCAAGTAGCACGGAATATTCCTTGAATGTCAAGCTGATATCAACCGGGAATATTCTTGTGACATTCAGGCGATATCATGTTGAAAAAGATGCAATTTAGTATTTTGTCATTTGTTTGAATCAGTTTACTGAACAGCCAATGGCGCTGTCGTCGCTAAGTAGTTTCTGTACTACGATTGTTTTATCTATAAAACTGTTTTGTCTCGTGACGAGTGCGCACGGAGAGTATTTTTTTGCTTTTGTACTATTTTTAATGTTTCTAATAATAAACAAGTTTCTTTTCATTTCATTAAAGTGTTTTAATATCTTTTATCAGAATCGCGCTGTCATTATTGGCTCAGATAATTAACATATCATAATGTCCTTTTCACGGGGACATTCCTCCGTGATGTATCTATGTTACGGTCTTTCACACAAAAAATGTAACGCGTTACAAAACTTACATTCTACATTTATTAAACCTAAATAATTCTGTGGTACTTTACTTTCATCTAAATCTTCAAAAGACATTATTGCAACTCCTGCACTTTTTTTATTCCGATTATCGTTTTTACATGTCAAATTCTTTTCTTCACACATTCTTTTCATCTTCCGTTGCCGTAGAAAATTTTTTCTTCTTACATGACAAATTATTTTCTTGACGCACTTTCTTTTCATCTTGAGTTTCCATTGATATTTTTCTTTTCCTACATGCCAAATTTTTATCCTTGCGTATTTTCTTTCCATCTTCAGTTTTTATAGATAATTTCTTTTTTTGCATGTCAAATTTTTTTTGCGCTCTTTCTTTTTTATTTCTGTTTTATTACGATTACGTTTTCTCAATCTCTCATTCTCCTGTCTTATTATTTACTGCTCATATGTAACTTCCGCCTTGCCTTCCTTTTTCTTCCCTTCTCTTTAATTGCTCGATTTATCTTTTTATCATTTTCTTTACTCAGAAAAGTTTTCATTGTTAAATATTCATGTGGTAAAATTTTGTTCACAGTATTATAAGTTGTACGAATTATTTTCTTTTCACTAGTGTCATTTAAAGAATGTTTAATTTTTAACTCTTGTGTTAATAGAACTCTGTTAATATTATTACTGGGAAAAGTATTAAAAACAGAACAATAGTTTAAAATATAATTTTTATGTTCCTGAGTTCAATTTATGAAAAGACGGTTCTAATCATTCTCTATTATCGAATTCCTATTGTGAGACGTTCTTACTGTCGGAAAATGATTTAAGCAATTATTTTCAAACATTGACTTAAAATGGTTTCTCATTTTGTTATTATCAGTTTCATAATTTACACGGTTTGGCATTACGTTAAATAATATAGATGTTGCAAATGCTATTGCATGTACTCCACACTCAACACTACCAAAAGGTTGTTGATCAATAGCTTCAAAAACTACTGTTGGTTTAAAAGGGAACAATCTAATTAAATATTTTATTTGCTGCACATTTAAACACCCCTTATTAAGGCTATCAAAAATATAAAGCCTTACTCTATAGTAATAGACATAAATTCAGTGACCATAATTGTTATTACCGCTAAAAAGTATTTAAATATGTTTATCACCGTCTCTAATTGGGACAATAAAATCAAGAATTTGTACATACAAAGCACTTTGCATATTAAAAAAAGAATTGGAATCTTTTCTTAATAAATCTTCAAATTTGTACATATGCATGTAATTTAACAATTTATTTCTATTTTCAATAATTTTTAAATATTTATCACTTAAAATAACATACTCTTTTATGTTGGCCATATTATACTTAGTTTAATTTTATTTTTGATGCATGAAAATCTAAATATCTTTAACCGTTTTGCTCACTTTCTCTAATATAACCAATTTTGCCTTTTATTAAATATAACCAATTTTTTCTTTAATTCAATACAACTAATTTTACCTTTTACTAAATATAACTAATTTTTCCTTTAATTCAATATAACCAATTTTTACTTTAATCCAATATAATTAATTTTGCCTTTTGTCCAATAAAACTACCAAATATCCAAAAGAATGAGAGAACTATGAGTAACTATGAATCAGTAACTACTGATCAGCCACTAAGTGCAAAAAGGACACTCTTATATGAGTAATCAGTAGTTCATTATAAATGACATATATACGTATTTATACCTGTATTAAAACCCCGGAACAAATACCACAAAAGAA